CTTCATACTTGAATTCAAAACACATACCCACAAATCCTCTCCTCTATACTGTAATTAGTTAAATAATAAACTCCCTAACAGCAGAAACCAAGTGATTTTGCTTAAAACTCCATTCTTAAGACATGATATATGGTAGTTTAATAATGCTTTTTTTAAAAGAATGAATAATTGAGCATGCATATGCTAGGGGATATTATTTACATAATTTTGTTTACTTTTCACAAATAGCACTATATCTATCAAGTCAAGTTCAGAGATGAGGAAGTATAATCGCTATAAATTTGCACAGGGTCACACTAACCCTAACCGATGATGTAGCTAGAGGTCGACATTATGCAATTAATTCTAAAACCCATACTTTTAACCAGTATACTATGCTGAGTTTGAGAGGAAGGCAAGGACAGAAAAAAAAGAAATAAAGAGTGGCAGGTGAAAATTTCAGAGAATGTGTTTTTATTTTGTGACCCTGTAAAAATTGCAGCAAAGATTTTTAAGTCCCTTTCACAACTAGAGCTTTGAGTATTTTGCTCTGTGATTCTTCCTTCACCAATAGGATCACATTAAGATCTTGGTCACCTACAGCCTATGAGCTGATAGCTCTTCCCCTCTATTAGTTAATGTGTACTGGCTGAAATGTCAACCTATTGGTGGGAATACTGTTCTTTTGCTTGCTTGCAAGCTTGCTCTCATGAGATAGCAATGCAAATAGTCTGCTTTTTTGTACTGAGAATCAAACTCAGGACTTTGTGCTTGCCAGGCAGGCACTTGTGCCACTGAGCTATATACCCCAGCCCCACAAATAGTCTGCTTAACATTTCCTGTGTATGCAAATTTATGTATTTTTTATTTAAATGTTTTGGGGTTTTTTTGTTTTTTGTTTGTTTGTTTGTTTTTCAAGTACCAGGAATCGAAATCACAACGTTGTGCTTGCCAGGCAGGCGCTGTGCTGCTGAGCTAAATCCCCAGCCCCTTTTAAATGTTAACTTTGTCAATAGACTATTTTAACTGTATTAGTAATAATCTAATCTAATTAGTAATAATCTTATTCCTAAAGATGACTAGATATAACTATTCTTTTATAAAACAAGCAGAAATAGAATCATGCCTTTTTTCTGGGGAATTAATTGTAATTCCCATTGCAATTTTTTTTTTTTTTGGTCTTTTTGGGACAGGGTTTTGCTACACAATTCAGGCTGGACTTGAACACACAATAATCCTCCTGTCTCCACCTCCCTCATGCTGGAATTACAGGCGTGCACCACACACCCAGCTTTTATTTGTGTGTGTGTCTTTTTGGCTGTTTTCTTTTTGTAAACAAATATCCTTTCAAATATTTATCTGATTTGTGACATGGAACTTTCATTCTTGTGGAAAACAATAAATGAAATATGTAACTTAGGATAAATAGTATAAGAAAAATAGAAGGGGCTAAGACACATGATAGGATGCTGTTACGTAACATTCTCAGCAAAGCCCTTACTGATAAGGTGAGATTTAAGCACAGATCTGAAGAAGTGATAATGTGAGCTAAATAGGTCCAAGCGGAAGAGCATTCCAGGCAGAGGGATAATAGTGTAAAAGTCCTGAGGCAGAGACACGCTTGGTATACTGGAAGAGAAGGATAGTGTGAAGGGAAAAGAATTATCAAGTAAAAAAGTCATCAAATCTGTCACAGTAACATGGATGGGGCAATTTACACAGGGCTTTGTGGATCATAAGAACTTTTATTCTGAGATGGGCAATCATTGGTGTGTAGTAAGATAGTAGTGATACTGACTCTTGAAGGGTTCACTCCACTGTTTGAGTAGACTGTTGAAACGAGAGAAGTATCAGGCAGACTTCGCTGTGGGCCAGGTGAAAAGTGATAAAGGTGGTACACAGAGATCAGATTCCGGATATATTTTTAAGGAAATGGTGGCAGAATTTACTGATGAGTTGATGTAAAGTATGGAAAGACCAAAGATGCTACCAGTTTTTAGCCCTAACTGGAAGAATGGAGTTCTCATTTGATGGGATAGGAAGGACTTGAATCAGATTTGGTTTTGGATACATTAAGTTTGTGATGCCTGTTAGACACTTAGGCAGTGCTGTAGAGTAAATAATTAAATGTGAGACTAGGGTTTAAGGGACTGGTGTGAGCTCTTAAATTTCAACTGTGTATGGTCACACATGCCAGTAATCTCAGCTATTGAGTGGGCTGAGGAAGGAGGATTGCAAGTTCTCCAGGACAGCCTGAGGAAGCCTTAATGAGACTGTGTCTCCAAAAGAAGGGGAGGGGTGTGGAGACTGGGGATGTAGCTTATTGATAGAGCACAACCAGGTTCAGTCTTCAGCATCAAGAAAAATGGGTTTTATCCAGGCAGAGATTGGTATTTCCCAGGAATAGAGAACAGAGAAGTTACAGTTTTGAGATTTCAATCCTGGGGCACTCCAGGATTTAGAGGCTGTAAAATGAACCAGAAAAAATATCAAGCCGTTTAGGAAAACAAGCAAAATCTTGGCAAGCAGGATAAAGAGCTTTGGGAAGAGATTTATCAGCTGTGTCAAATGCTGCTGACAGGTGAAGTCTAAAACACAAGATTAGAGAACATGGGTACTACTGATCTTGAGCAGGTTCAGTAGACTGGGAATAAATCTGATTGTTATGACTTAAGACAGAGACAAAGTATTTCTATAAAGGACAGCAGATTAGTGAATAGTGGGGTTTTATATCTGGAGGTCAAAAATTATTTTCAAGATGATAACTAGTATAATTATTTTATAAACGATGAAAGTGATCCGGTCAAGACGGAAAAATTCGTAAGTGAATAATTCTGAGTAAAATGCAACGTAATGCAAAAATGACAAGTTTGCTCTTAGATAGGAATTGTTTATCTACAGTAACCGGTGCATGTATTTTTAGAAGTACAATAGTTGGTAGGTTCAGGGTAGTACTAGAATTCTTACTGCTTTCTGACTTTTTTTAACAAGAGGTAAAAAGCAAGATAATGACCTTTAGGTGAGGAGGTAACGGGTTTAGAAGGTGTGAAACACCTGGTTAAGAAAGGGTAAATGGATTAAGGAAATGTCACCTGTGGATGAGAAACACAAGTTAACTTCAATGGTAGTATGACTAGGTTTCTGTCCAGCTGTTATGCCTGTTTGTAGAATTATACTGCAGTCAATTAACCAGAGTTGTGGTTTAAGCAGATAAGGAGAGGAAAAGAATGCGGGTATTTTCAAAGGATTTATCAGCTAGGCAAAAAAAAAAAAAAACTTAAATTACTACAGCATTCAATGTGTCCTTTAGGAAATACAGATGATTCTTGTTATTTGTGGCAATTATGTCTAATAAATTCATCGTTAACACCAAACTGCTCTTACGGTAAAAAAAAAAGGGGGGGGGGTAAGGTTTTGTGAGCCTATGGTCACACCTTCATCAGCAGATCAACATATGAAAAGAAACCTTATTTAACCAAAAATACTAATGATAAGTCTGAATGAAAATTATCTAGCATTCCTGTTTTCTCCTTAAGGCTTAGCAAAACCTTCTTGTGTGTAGGAATACTAGACAGCACGTCAACACTACTCTGGAGGTGTTTAGAGAAGGCGGTTAAAATAGCAAAATCACCAATAAAGAATGCACACAATGCAGAAAACATGGCAGCAACTATATGTTATAAAGAACAGTTGTTTACAGCATGAGAGCCAAAATAGGAGGGCAGTGTCCTCTTGTTCAGTCTCAGCTGAGAACATAGATGTCAGGTAAGTCAAACGTTCCACCACTTTGTCCATGTCCATAAATGCTGAGATTGACTTTGGTATTACAAATAAATTTTACTGAGAAGAGTTTGCAAACACGGAATGACGAGGATTAGTTATACACTGCCTGGAATGTCGTCCATAACTCAGTTTAGTTTGTTCTCAAATAAGATAAGGCAATTTCAGCAGACATTTGGCTAAGTTAACAATAGAAATAATACTGTTGCCAGTTTTCAAACTTTGTGCATTACACATATAGGTGTTACTTTTTGAATGCTTCTATTTTGCTGTTTGTTTTTTTGTGATGCCGAAAGGACCCACTGATCTCTCATTTTCTTTTTCTTGCTGACATCTTGAGTGAGCATTAATAAGACTTTCACTGGTCCTAGCAAACTGGAAAATTGTTAATTTTTAACAAGCCTATGTAATTATCTTTTCAGTTGTGATTTCAGCTGCCCACACATGATTCCATCTTTTCATTAAGTCTAGCAAAAATGTAACTTGTTGGATACCAAACATTATTTTTTGATAGTTTTCCCCAGTTGTCTCGTTTCTTCTGATTTGTATCTTACATTAAATACTATAGTTGCACTTTACATTTACTGCAATCCTTTCAACAAATCAATCGTGCCTCTGGCAGAATTAATATGCCACTAGAATACCATCCCTATCAAGAAAAGGTTAACTGGATATCTGGCGTTTCCCCATCCCCATGGACACAAAACCCAATTTGGAACAATTCCATGTAGCACATTCTTTGCCTTTATTCACATCCAGAGCCTCCAAATGAATTTTCTTTCACCAAAGCACTTTAGGAAGGAAAAACTAGAAAAGAGAAATAGCGAGAACCGAGAGGGTGGATAAGGTTGGGGATGGAAGGTGTGAGAAACGCAGAGGCCACGCAGCACCGCATTCTCCCGGTCCCCCCTCCCCTCGGCTGCTGTCATTCACCGCCGGCGCGGTGCGGTGCAGAGCGGCCTCGAGCTCACAATCTCCACCGACAGCCGCCCGCCGCAAGGCCTTCCTGCGCTCGGCACGGGACCCCGCAAATCCTCCACAGTCGCCGTTCCTCGCCTGGAAAGCTCGCTTTCCTTCTCGCTTTTGGGGTGAGACTTACGGCCTAGCCGCGTAGGCCCCGCTCGCAGCAGCCCTGCCTGCCAGCGGCCGCTCTCGGGATTCCGGGTTCTAGGCACTGACCGAGGGCGCAGGACCACTTCCGCAGCCCCCGCGAGGCAGCTCCGCGGTAAACGTGCGCCCAACGCCCGCTTCGGGGTTTTCCGACCACCCGCCAGGGCCCGAGGGGCGGGGGGCCAGCGGCCGGAGCGCTCGCCGCAGGGCACACCTCCCCACCGCCGCGGCCCCTCCAGGCGCACGCGCAGACGCCGCCGCCTCCGGGATTTAGTCCGCGATGGCGTCCCTCGCGTCCCACCGTCTTCCTCCCAAAGGTAGCTCCCACCCTTCGCAGCCTGGAGTCCCTGGGACCAGCCTCCAGCAGGCTGCCGACCAGGACTACCCCTAAACTGGAACCACAGTGGCCAGACTTGAACGTGAAGACAAGAAGCGGCAACCGGAAAAGGCTGCCGGGCCGCGAGAAGGCGAGCCAGGCCTCAGAGGAAGAGGAAGGCCGGACTGAGCCGAGGTTTGCCGAAGGCGGCGTTCGGGAGCCACGCGGGGCGGGGGAATAAACCGAGGACGGGAGGCGAGGGGCGCGGCGGAAACTGCCGAGGTTTCCCGAAGGCGGCAGCGTCCGAGTTGCCCGGATGTAGTTGGTGGAGCGGCAGCGGCGGCACCAGCGGCGGGAGGAGGAGGAGGAGGAGGAGGAGGACCAGGCAGCGGCGGCGGCGGCAGCAGAGGCAGCAGCGGGGGGAGGAGGCGGCAGAGCCGAAGAAGGGGAAGGCGGAGGAGGCAGTCGCTCTCCGCGGGTTGGAACCGGACGCGTCTTCTTGCCCCCCTCCCCCCGGTGCGCGCTGCTGCCGTGTAGTTGGCGCCGCTGCCCCGGCCGAGCGTGAGCGTGGTGTGGACGGAGGGAGATGGCCCGGGAGCGCCGGCGCCAGTAACGGGGCGGTGCTGAGCGTCGCCGAGGGCGCGCCGGGCCGGGGCTGC